GTTGAGCTGTTGTTCAGCATCTTAGCTATAGAGGGCAGTGTCACTGGCCCTCATATGTGGGATCCGAACTGGGGCCCTCTGGCGTCCCAAGCCAGCTCTTAACCAACTGAGCCACTCGGCCAGCCCTAGAAATTTTTTAATTGAACTTCCATATTTTTTTTGATGCAGTAAATACGTAAGACTTTTTTATTTTGTTATCTTCTGTGAATTTAAAGGAATTATTTATCGACGTCTACCAAAGAAGGGTAAACATGGTTGGACATGAATTTTTTTAGTTTGTGAGAATGCTGTATTGTAAAAATCTTCCTTGTCTCCTAGGTTTACTTAAAGACTGCCTTTAATCCATTTCAGAAATTCACCTGTGATGCTGTCCACCCTGACATTCCTTTCTTGCCTCCGTCAGATGGATTTTGAAGCTGTCTATCCTATGAGAAGATGTTTGTTGTCAGAATCTAACACTGTCAAAGATTTTCTGTGGGTTAAGTAGCTCCAAGGCCTCCCAGGGCTGAGCTTAGTTTATTCATTGTGATGCTCTGGTTGAAAACTGCTCTCTGGACAGCACACCTGGCTGGCTGGAGGGGTGGGTGACAGTGCTGGTGAAAGGGACTCCTAACCCCCCAGCATTATTGTCCTCTTGGAGCAGAGAGACTGGTGTTGGCAAATCCACCCCCTTATAAACCCAGTGAGGACAGGAGCATCATTTAGAAAATAGAATTTGCTTGAGCTTCTTATGCCCCAGGTAGTAGTTATTTTTTATTTGTTATTGGAATGCTTTGAAAACATCATACTCCGAGAGCCTGCAAACTGTGGCCATGATCATGCCCAGCAGTGGCAGGAAGGGTGTCTTAGAGCTGCCTGGCCGCCTTCCCAGGACCTCGGATATCAATGTTCCTTCATAGGGTGTGGCCCCTTTCTGGATGCTGAGTAAAGGGGACTCGTGGCTTTACAAACCACAGGAAATGAGGTTTGTTTGCCTTTGAAAAAATAGAAAAAATTTGAGACTGAAAAACCAAAAGACTGCATTTTCTTGTCTGAAGTACACACGCATCAGCCTTAATTACGGTGTTGAATTGCAGGCAGGGTTTATGTAACAATCCGTACTGGAAAAGCTGGACGATAAACCTTGCTAGTCCCATTCCCCTGACAGAGCTATTTTGGCTCATTCGCCTCAATCCGACTGCATACATCGTGGAGCTATGAGGTACTGTGTTTTACAGGTGCAACCTGCGAAAGTCTTAAGAAAGGTCTCTAGCTTTCAAAATGTTTAGAATCCGCCTTCCCCTTCTCAGAGTGGATGAAATCCAGACCAGGAGCATGGGATGAGTTCATGAAGGCCACTGCTGACGAATCTTCCAGAAAACGGCTTCTGGAGCCCTGGGAACCTTCGAAAGAGCCCTGAATGGGGCTCTTGGAACCCGCCTCCCTCCCGAGTCTTCTGAGCGGCTACGTCAGCCCTTAGCTGACGTTACTAGAGAGCAGATTGCCAGAGTGGCATTTCCATTTCCAGGTGAAAGGACGTCCCTGAGACAACCCACCTCCCCTCCCCACCATGTGTCCAGCACCAAATGTGTGTTCTTGAATCCTGTAATTTCAAGTGTTATCCCCGTTTTCCACGGTCTTGAGGCTTAAGGCAAGTTAAGTGCTTGAACAAGAGCACGCAGCCACTAGGGGGCGTCAGATCAACCCAGAGCCTAATGATCTCCCCGACACTCCGGGCTCCTTGCCTTGCTTCTTGTGCTTGTCTTATGCCCCTTGACCACACCAGCGCTGCCAGGAACCCTCCCCCACCTCACTCCGCCCACCCTCAGCAAATGGATGGTAAGAGCCCTTAGGAAGCTCACGCTTTGTGTCCCCTTACTCTGGGAGGAGAGTGGGTGTGACTCAGGTCCAGGTGCTCACTCTGTTAGGGATGGCCAAACCTCCCAAGCTACTCTCCAGATGTTGGCCCAGAGTGCGATTTTGGCTGGTGACTCGATGGAAATAATAACTGGTGTTAGCCTTTGGTGTCTCATGCTCCCTTAAAACAGGGTCCCATCTCTCCATTTGGGTTTTTTTCCTGATGTTTTGACGCATTCTGCAAACCGTCGGAAAAGCAATTCCT